GGGAAGCAACAAAGTCCACATGGAGGAAGCACACCAGCCTGTGTGACCATCAAGTGTTGATGGGGTCAGCTATTAGGCATCAGAAGACCCAAACCAAACAAATATATTGATGCAAATGATGGGAGTTGAAGTGGAGACCCAAAGCCCAACTGTAGACAATTGGACATCTCCTCACAGAAGGGTCACAAGGAAAGAAAAAGACAGCCAAGGTGAAGGATAGCACTGGTGAAACACACAATATTCCTCTAGTTCTTCAATATCCTCCCCCCTCCACTATCTCACAAATCCAGCTAGACCAGAGCATGTACACTGGTCCAGGTAAGAGCTCTCCACACACGGAATCCAGGTCAAATTACCCCGACAGGCACAGCAATGGGAGCAATACATTGAGGTTGAGGGGAAGGAGGGAGAGAAGGGGACAAACGGGAAACCAACTATAATGATCGGCAACGTCGGTGAAGGGAGACAGCAGATGGTGCAAGATATGCAAACAATAACTCAAATTTATCAGGGATCCATGAGCGTTGGAGGGTAAAGTAGGAAGGGGGAAAAAATAGGAGCTGATACCAAGGGCTCAAGAAGAAAATGTTTTAAAAAGGATGATGGCAACATATGTACACATGTATTTGATACAATGGATATATGGATTGTTCTAAGAGCGGTAGGATCCATGAACAAAATAATTTAATTAAAAAGGTGGCACAACTAAAAAATGTTCTGTCCCATATCTCTACACACACAGGTCCCTTTGTGTATGCATTGCTCAAGGCCAAACACCAAGAGGGGGATTTGCTGGGCAACGGAGGTTTACCATTCTGGCTCTGCCACAGGGCAAGTCACAATGTCTTTGGGCCTTGGTTTTCTGAGCCCTGGAGGGGCTGCTTCGGGGGCTGTGTGGGTACCATGTTCAGTAAAGCAGAGGGTTGGCCAAGACGAGGGAGACGGACGAGGGCAATTTCCCCAACAATGCCTCATTAACCCTGGAGAGGGCGCAGCACTGGCACTCTGTATCCTGCGGCACATGAGGTCACCGCACGTCTGAGCTGGGACTTCACAGCAACGAACACACAAAAAAGAGAGACCTTTGACCTGTGACATGGTGGGGAAGTGACACAGCCCAACACCACTTCGGGCTTACAGCGGGACTTTCCTGATGAGTAAGCGCATGCTTCAAACTCCTAGGAACAGCTCCAACGCCCTGATGCTGCAGAGGAAGCCACTGAGGGACAACGGAATTTGGGTCAGAGCAAACCAAGAGGTGGGTTTCTTCTCTTTCAGCTGAAGCGGCAGTGGCGGCTGCTGCTCCTGAGCCCTTCAAGCGGTACCAGGCCAAGAGCCCTGGGCTCCGCAGGTCACCATGCTGACCGCACGTGGCCTGGCACTGGGAACCAGACAGGTTTTGTTTTTTATTTTAATTTTTAATATGGATTCTCTAATACTTAGTAATCCCTTTTTCATTTTCTAAAAATGGATGTTGATCTGAAAAATGTCCCAACGAAGGGGCCTTCACTTATTTTAAAAATCATTGTGTTAGGCCGGGTAGACTAGAGAAACAAATTTATAGACACACATATGTGTACAAGAAAGAGGTTTATATACAAGAGCAGTTGAATATTGAGAAAACATCCCAGCCCAGTCCAGATCAAGTCCGTAAGTCTGATATCAGCCCATATACCCGATACCAATCTATAACGCCCTCTTCTGACTCATGAAACACATGCAATGATGCCAAATACAGGAAGATCACAGGCCAGTGGGAGCAAGTCAGTGGCCTTGTAAGCATCCTTGAACTGGTAGGGGTCTCCTTGTAGCTCTTCCAGGTTCCCAGAACTCTCAGGAGAAGGCCATGCCCACAGAGGCCTCACTGGTTTTATCTTGATTGACAGGCCAGACTCCATCCCTTCAGTCGTAATCCTCTCAAAGTGACACTAGATCATGTAACTACGACAATCATTGTAACACAGGTCTTAAGGCATCTCTGTATTAACGGAGAAAGGATAGAAGGGAACCCTTACTACCACCACAAAGCAAAATCTAGACTGGGTGCTTATGGGGCAGGGCTTGGGGTGTGGCTGGCTTATGGCGATCACCTGTCTAGAGCAGAATTGAGAGCCATCGTTTCAACGATGGGCTTTTCCAAAGAGGATGGCCAGGGTCTGTCTTCTTAGGGGTCCCTGGGGGGCTCAAATCTTTAACCTTGCAGTTCGAAGTGAATGCATCACTCATACACTCCAACCACCATGGCTTCCTGGTTCCCTAGGGTCCACCGGGAGGGAAGATTCCCACACCCTCCTCCTCACAGATGAAAGGCCCAGCCTTTAGACGGCATCACTGTTAATTCCAATAGGGGCCGCTTCATAGTACGAGGAGTGCTGGTGGTGCAGTGGTGAAGCGCTTGGTCAACCCCACCAGCTACTCCAGGGGAGAAGGATCCGGCAGTCTGCAGCTGTCCAGATGACAGCCTTGGAAACCCTGCCCGGCAGGCAGTTCTACTCGGTCCTACAGGGGCACCATGAGTCAGCCTGAGGAACTGCGAATAGGTGTGGTGGCTTTTATGCAGGAGGCGGCCCTGGGTCACAAACTTTCACGAGCTCATCTGCTAACCAAGAGGTCGGGAATCTGAGTCTGCTCACAGCCATCTAGGAATGCCTGGCTCCCAGAAAACAAGCCACGGAAGGCCGATGGAGTCAGAGTCAGGGCTGACTCAAAGGGAAACCTGTACGCACACACTATGAAATCTGACGGACTTCCTTACGGAGCCCGCTTCCCGTCTGACCTTGAAATGCCAGTGACGGACGCAGTGTCATAGGTCCTACGGCCTGCACTTTTAGAAAACCTAACGCAGCAGTGCTTCTATCCCATTTTCACAATGGCCGTTCCTTCAAATACTGGCGTACTCAGGTAAGCTGAGCTCCTTCTGGTGGTCACGGTTGGATGACTGGTGGAGAGAGAGGTGCCGGAACCCCCGCTCGTGTGTCCTGCAGGGCAGTCGGTGGTTTGAGGTGGAAGCGCCAGGCTGAGTCACCGGTCCTTTTGCACAATGTGTGCAGACAGCCAGCGGCAGGGAGGTGGGCCACGGGGACCAGTGGTACCAGCAGGAAATGGGGAAAGACTACAGCGTGCCCCAGGGGGTACGCATGCAGCTCGTGGGGAAGTGGCCTTGCTTGGTTCCAGCGCAGCCCTGTCCGTGGGAAATTTTACCTCCTTCACAGTTTCCGGGGCTTTCTCACTTTAAAAAGGGCAATGCAACCTGAGAAAACAGCAGTGAATCTGTCCGTGGCTCATTGAAAGGAAAAGGGTAATTCATGGCAGTGGGTGTCCGCTTCAGGTTCCGAACTCTCACACCCCTTTTAATTGTTCAAAGTAGAAACGTAATGCTATTAAAAATCAACTGTGGGGAGGCAACTTCCTTAACCTAGCTCGTGAGGTTGTGGAATCTGCCCGGGAGTTCTCCTCTGACTTAATAAAAGTCTTTTCTTTACTTATTAAAAAAAGGAAAATCAACTGTGGGGACTGGAGCCCGTGCCCCTTCTAAGTGGCTTTGTTGGGCACGGTCTGGCAGATGTCGACGGGAACGGTGGCTCTCCCCTTCTGTGTGGCTCCCAAGGCACAGAAAGCAGGCCGGCCACAATAAACGGCCCACAGCTCTTCCTGTGACGGACACACCAGGGAGGGTCACGTGCCTCACCTGGACCAGATCTTCCCAAAGTGGGCAGTACTACCCCTAGGGGTCGCCAGACCAATGGGGGAAAAGGAGGGCCGTGGACAGATGCGGGGATTTTTGTCTTAGGTTATGGCTGACAGTACAAACGTTTTTCACTGCCAAGAGGGTGCTGAGTAATATTTCTTTCTGAAAAGGGGGTGGGTTCTGAAACACCACTTTGAGACAAGGACTTTTTCTCTACTGTGCTGACCAAGTTCAAGCAGCAGGCTACCTACCGCATGTGCAGGTGACAGAAACCTGAAACCAAGGGACCCAAGCCCAGAGGTGGTAGAGAAGAGGACCCAGGTGGGGGAGGCTATTTGCCCCAGGTCATAGAGAAGCCAGAGGCAAGCCCTTCATTGGATGTCCCCGCCTCCTCCGTGGTGCTGAAATTCATGGGTAGCTTTGTGGGACATCTGTCCCACTGCAGCTGGGGTTGTGGGTCCAGCTGTGGGGACCTCACGGGTGAGTGAGGTCACTCAGTGACCAACAACAGCAACCCGAGCTCAAACAGGTGTAACACGGGATACAGAAGCACTCTGCCTGGAAACCACACCCGACACTGACCAGGCCTCCACAGTGACCTGCCACTTTACAAAACTACAGGGGACAGAGGAAAACGCTAAGTGACACTCAGAGATGCCATCAGTCGGGCAGGCTCTGTAGGGCAGAAAGAAAACGGAACAAGAGGGAGCGGGCACGCCAGGCCTGAAAGGCTGTCCAGGCCCATGCGTGTGAGCGGACCTCACCTGGACCCGTTTGACCAAACCAACTGTGCAAACACGGTTCGCGTGACATTAGGACAAAGGAAGTCATTGCCTAGGTAGTTAATATTAAAGAATTGACAACTAGTATGTGTGCTGTGTATGTGCTTCCAATGGGCCTTACCCTTTAACTTTACATATTACAGTTAATCCTGGGGAACGGGGGCTGGAGAGTTCGTGGTGTCATCCTGCACTGACTATGTTTAAAAACTGCCACAACAGAGCGCTGATGAGTCTTGTGGCTCCGCCTTCTTTTCGGCCCCAGCTTCCCACAGATCATCCACCTGGATGGGAATATGCTCCTCAGTCGTTGCTGGCGAGTCATCTCCAGTGCACGGTGAGCCTCTGTGTAGAACTACAGGTTTTCAATGGCTGATTTTTGAAAGTAGGCTGCCAGGCCTTTCTTCCAAGCTGCCTCCTGCCTGAGTGTGAACCTCCCACTTTTTAGCTGGCAGCTGCGCAGGCGTGTTAAGTACTGGCATTACCCAGGGGGTGGACTTGCAAGAGGCCAAGGCATAGTTAGTGCAGCTCACCTGTCGATGAATTGATCGATGACAACGATGTCACCGGGCTGGATCTCCTCTCTCAGGGAGCCGCAGGCTGTGGTCACAATGACATGGGTACAGCCCTCCTCCTTCAGAGCCCAGATGTTTGCCTGGTAGTTGACTTTGGAAGGCACAATGCTGTGCTGCCTCCCGTGCCTATGGGAAGGAGAGGAGAGGAGAGTGGGCAGGTGATTGTGGGGGAAATGGAACTGCCAAGGGAGTCTCCCCATCTGCAGCACCGAATGGTACTGCCCTGGAGCACTTCTCAGGCTGTAAACCTTCCACCTGCAGCTCGCAGCTAAGTTTGAACTGCTCATCGGTGATTATGCAGCCAAGCGCTCAACCATCGCACCACCGGGACTCCTGAGGTGTGCTGGGAGAATTTAAAACCTTACAAAGGCATTGACAAACAACAAAAGGTGGGGGATCCAAGAGCACCCCGGAAGTGTATGTTTTTCTGAAGCTGATCTCTCATGAGATTCCCCCCGCTGAGAGAGCATCAGTAGCTAAGAAGAGCTGCAGGGAAGAGACAAACAATTCGCAGCCAGACCCAGTTCAATGCTCTCTTCACAGGACACATCTGCCTACTGGTTTCTCCCTCCAAAACCAGTCTCATTGGCGCCCAGTCGATCCCCACCCATAACGACCCCAGAGGACAGAGCAGAACTGCCCCTCGGGGTTCCAAGGCTGTCATCTGTCCAGAAGAAAGCAGCATCTCCCTTCCAAGGAGTGGCACCTGGAGGGTTCACACCGCCAGCTTTTCAGCTAGCAGTCAACTGCTTTCGCCAGCAATGACTCCAAAGACGCTTTCTTGCAATCTACTCCATGGGCCATCTAAAACAAAGACTCCCAAACTTATTTGGCCTGTTGCCCCCTTTTCCAAAGCAAACAAACAAATTACTTGGCACTCCCTTGGCAATTAGAAACCTTTTATTACAGCCCATAATGTAGGATAACGTGTCCTAAAAACTCACTGCCATCAAGTTGATTCCAACTCATAGCAAGCCATAGAAAGCCTTTCTCCTCTTTCTTCTGAGGAGCGACTGGTAGTTTTGAACTGCTGGCCTTGCGGTTAGCAGCCCAACAGGTAACCCCCTATGACAACAGGGCTCTGAGAATAAAGTGTAGACATCTGCTTTTGTAGTTCCCCTCCAGGGTCATTCCAGCACCAACCAGGGTATCACTCACTCTGGGAAACATGTCTAAAATGACACTTATTTGGTTCAGAGGCGCCTCTTCTATGTTACAAATGTAGGGTGGCAGACAGACATTAGGATGGCTCTGAGTTCACACTCTATGTCACTGTCCCAGGGAGTGGAGGTGGGAGTTAGACTTGCTGCCAACCAAAAGAATATGATACCATCACTGGGACAGTCCTCCTGTGATGGGGTGGTGCGTGGCGGCCTGCAGTCTCTTGCTGGTCTTGAAGAAACCAGCTGCTGTTGCTGTGGGAACTGCCTGGAGAGGGCCACAAGGCAGGAAACTCTGGGCAGCTTCTAGGACCTGGGGGCCTCAGGCCTACCCCAGCAAGAACTGAATTCTGCCAACAACAGCACTAACTTGGCAGAAGATGCCAGACTCCAGGTGCACCCTGGGCAGCCTTGTGAAACCTGAGAGCAGGACCCAGCTAAGCCAGGCCCAACTCCCGACCCCTGGGAACGGAGCTAATGCACGTGCACACGGATTTACACAGCTACACTCAAGCTCATGTGTTAGGCAGCAATAGAAAATGAATACAAGTGAGTTTGATCCATGTCTAGCCATGGCATGAAGATCATTTTCTTTTAAAATCAAGATGACCTAGATTTGGAAGGTAATTTTTACTTGATGGAAACAGGGACAAGGAACGAAAGAGAATGAACTAGAGCAAGGATGTTAATGAAGAACCTTAGGTCAAGAAAACAGTTGGCAGTGGGCCAATTAAAACCCCACCCTTCTCTACACGAGGGGGAGCATTGGCCACCAAGGGCCTGAGACCCACAACCTCCAGGTACCCAACCATCACTGTGAATACAGGCGCCAGAGGAGTCGGGTCGTTTGTTCACCACACTGATCAAAGAACAAACACTTGCTCTCACACTTCCCAGTGAAGTCAGCTTCACTGAGTCAAATTCACTGCACCTGCCGGCCACTTCGAAGCACGATCCCATTTTCTAACCGCAGCGAGATCGTTGGCAGCCACTCAGTACCACTCCTCTAACCAAAGCCAGGAGGTGGCCACCAACAGAGGAACCTCTGCATCACCCTTCTTTCCAGAAACAACAGCCCATGCGGACTCGTTCACTAGCAACACCTGAAGGAGCCCTGGTGGCGTGGTGGTCGATCTACAAGGTCCGCCGTTTGAAACCACCAGCTGATCCTTGGGAGAAATACAAGGCTGTCTACTCCCAGGAGCAGTGAGTCTCAGAAACCCTTCAGCGGTTCCCAACCTTCCTCATGCCGTTCATACAGTTCCTCATGTAGTGGGGACCCCCAACCATAAAATTATGCTCGTTGCTACTTCATAACTGTAATTTTTGCTACTGTTAAGAACTGTCATGTAAATATCTGATATGCAGGATGTCTTTTCATGGTTACAAATGGAACATAATTAAAGCATGGTGATGAATCACAAAAACAGTATGTCAATGATATATTGTGAAATATTTATTTCTAATGACAAATAAACGAAATTTTGTCTTGAAGCATGGTGTAGCATGGGTAGCAGTCTTCACACCGGGTACTCGTATGTGGGCGTGTCCGCATGCAGGCGGACCTGCATGGAGAGGGATAGAGGAGCAGTGTCTCAGTTCCTAAAACCACTGGAAATATTTGTTTTCCGATGGTCTTAGGTGACTCCTGTAAAAGGGTCATTCGACCCCTAAAGGAGTCGTGATCCACAGGTTGAGAACCACTACCCAGGGAAGTTCTACCCTGTCCTATTGTGTTGCCACCAACTCAATGGCAGTGAGTTTTTTGGAGTAACACCTGAAAATCAGGTTAAAACCACTTACCTTGCAAGAAGGACACAATCAACGTTCTTTATCTTCCCCAAAATTAAGGCATCGGATGGCTGCACATAAAGAAAGATGATTTCAATGCAAGATTTTAAAACATAGGTTACACACACACACACACACACACACACACACACACAATCTGCCAGTGAGTCAATTTAGACTCAAAGCAGCTCCTTCCGTGTTTTCAGTGGTCTTTCAGAAGTACATCACCAGCATTCTAGACCCTTTGGGTGGGTTTAAATGGCTAACATTTGCCTTGCAGGGACTCTCTATACATAAGGGGGCTTCAAAAAATTGGTGGACAGATTCCGTTATCTTTCACTTCCCATTTAAAACAGACACAAACTGAAAAGCTCCCATTTGAATTGGATGTCCACAATAGGAGTCACCTTAGAGTAGAGGAAGTCTAATTTGACCAATCAGCTTAATCATCCAATAAACAAGCTTCACGTCCTCAGGATGCCCCACCATCAACAGTGTGCTGATGCTGGCCTGGCCACTGGGCTCGGCACCATTCAGCCAGACCTCTGTACAGCAGGCATGGTGAGGGTCAGGGACAGAAGACTGCTCAAGGGTCTTTGGCAGGTTCCAACTCAGGTGTGTGAGTGAGAGGCAGGAAGGACGGAAGGGCACCGTGGTGGGATTTGAGGACTCAGTATAGAGAACCCTGTTGGGTCACCAGGTCCAAGATGGCCATGCAATGGCCAGGGGCGGAAAAAAGGCCCTTGGAAGTTAAGATGATGGCCAACTGGACCATCAGACTTATAGGACGCAAGGTCATGTGAGGAGATAGTGGAAAGGAGGTTGTGGGTGGTATGCTCAGATCTTCCATAAGGTGGTCAGAGGGACTGCGGTGTGTAGAAGCAGGATAAGGAATTCGATCCAAGCTGGTGGGTAGGGGGGCTTGGCAGACTGCCAGTCTCGGCTGCAAAGAGGACTACTTCATTTCCAGTTCAGCTGTGCATTCACAACCTCAACAGTGTGCTGGATCCCCCAACATTGGGGCGAGGGCTCACCACTTTGTAATGATACTTCCTCTTCCTTTAAAAATCATTTTATTGGGGGCTCATACAACTCTTATCACAATCCATCCATCCATCCTGTCAAGCACATTGATACATTGTTGCCATCATCATTCGCAAAACATTGTCTCTACTTGAGCCCTTGGTATCAGCTCATTTCCCCTTCCCTCCCCACCCCCTCCTCCCTCACGAACCCTTGATAATTTATAAATTATTATTATTTTGTCATGTCTTATACTGTCCGACGTCTCCCTTCACCCACTTTTCTGTTGTCCGTCCCCTAGGGAGGAAGTTATATGTAGATCCTTATAATCGGTTCCCCCTTTCTACCCCACCTTCCCTCCACCCTCCTGGTATCACTACTCTTATTATTGATCGTGAAGGGCTTGTCAATACTCTCTCTTCTTAGTCATTTGAGAATGCCCAATGTTGTCAAAGTAACCCCTTGACTCTGAATACAGCTGCTCCCCAGGGTCTCCAAGGTTGTAATCTTTGTTAGGTGACTGCCTCATCAGTCTCCCATGGGGCAGCAGGTGGGTTTCAACTGCAGCATCAGGGCTCATCTGAGTCACCGGCCTATCCCCCAAATTAACATAGGGTGACCCAAAGGTCTAAAATTGAGCCAAGATGAATCTGAATGGCAAGGCTGGAAGGGTTCAGCTGCTAGGCTAAAGTGAGTATCTGGTTTCTAGGACATATAAATGTAAGTTACCTGTGTGGCCAGGGCCTTCCTGCCTGCCTCCAGAGCCCTCTCAGGTGACAGAAGTCAGAGGCAGGCCCCCTGGGCTTTCCCATCTGGGGCCCACCCACCCCACTGCCAAGACAAAGGAAGTCCTTATTTTTTAACAACTATCAAGCCGGCCAAGAGATAAAACAGCTCATAAGCCGGCTTGAATTGGATATAACCTTGCCAAATGGTGTATCCACATATTTTTCGGTTCTTCCTTCTAAAATCTCTGGGTCATCCAGGCCGGTTCCACCAATTATTCCAATCTAAAGGGGGTAGGGGGAGACAAAGGAAAAAGAATACAGCTGAACAGTTTTCATGAGGGACAAAACCGTGATGGCAAGCACGTCTCGAATTCACACCCGAGTGCTCACTTCCATTGCCTAAGCCCGTTATTTTTTAAATCCCAGAATTACTGGAAACAAAACAAGATCAAACAGCAAAAAACCCCAACATTTGCTCATTCAACAAGCACTCGAAGGTCTTCCGGATTCCAGAAGTGACCAAAAGAGAGTTTGTCTTTGGGAGATTAGGTCACACTTATCACTGGCTGTCCGAATTATAAACGAGCACAGAAAAGGTCGCATACACACTTGTGTATAAGTCGAGTTTTTCAGCACATTTTAACGCAGCGTTTGTGGTAAAATTAGGTGCCTCAGCTGATATTCGGGTCGGCTTATATGCTAAGTATATGTGGTACTTCCATTAGCATAAGTAGAGAGAAAAAACAAACACAATTAAAAAGCAGCCAAATGTGGTTACAGAAAACACATCGTTACCAACCTTCCCCCCTATAGAATGGGCTGGGCAACCAGCGGGAATAAGATGCTAAAGTAGGGTGCTCGAATCAAGTATCCTTGCTGTTGCTGCCTGCCAAGCTCCTGGTGACTCTGGGCAACCCCTCCATGACAGAGCAGAGCAGCTGGCTAGCAGATGGGCACCTTACCGCCGCGGCACCAGGCCTCCTTTCCTCACCGTCACCCCTTTGTCAAAGAAACCAGGGGTTATTTTTTCTTCATCACACCACTAGACATCGTAAAACTGGGCAGGGAGCAAAGGCTGGCGGAGTTTTGACTGTCACGCCAAGCTGGGCTCACACCTGGAATCAGAAAGCCATTCCTATGTATGTGAACTTATGGAGACAGACACTGTCTTAGGGGCCGTCGAGTGGTCAGACTCATGGGGGCAACTCAAGTGTGCAGAGAATTGCACCATAGTGTTTTCTAAACAGAAACCTACCAGCTTCCCACCCTCACACCGCCAGGCCCTTTCTTCAGTACTGATTGGTGGGTGCAACTGCCAACCAACCGTTGGTGGCACTTAGGTACACATAGAAGAGCCCTGGGCTGCCAACGGCAAAGTCGGCACACATACACACGAATCCCTACACGCACATATACGTAATTCAAAGGTGGCCTAACAGCTTTCTTAAACGCCTATGTTCTACTGCATTTTTTGAAGACTAACTACAGCCTGTGTCTTCAGACTAACCCAAGGCAAAGGAACCTGGCACTATTCTTGGCACTAAGAAACAATGACAAGAGATAACGGAGCATTAAATAAACAGCTAAAACCAAAGGCACCACAGGAAGGCTTCCTTGGGCGATGCTTCCGGACAAAGGAAGCACAGTTAAACCATCAGCAGGAGGCTAAGGGGACGGACAACAAGCCCAAGGAAAGGAACCTGGGTGGTTTTCCCCATAACAAAAACTGTAAGCCGATTAGCCCAAGTAAACCTCCTCCCCAATAAAAAGTAAATCTTTGTGAAAATCACTGCCGAATCAGGACTTTGCCGATCATTACATGACCTATTTTCCAGATTAGATCAGAGACACTTACTTATAGCAACATATATGTAAACGGCTAACCTCTCCGGTTCTCTCTTTTCTGAAAAAACAAACTAAATTCCAACCTGAGAAAATGTTTTTAACTAAAACAGTAGCCCTCCCCTGTAAGAACGCATGTTAGGTTTCTCGGGTGGGAAATGCCTCGGTCCCAGGCTTCGCAGGAGAAAAAATTCATGCCGAAGCCTGGTTTGTGATCCGAGGTTTTTTTAATAAAGGACGGAGGAAGTTTGGGGCGTCACAGTCCCTGCACGCCCACACATGGTGGCTGCGGCCAGAGAGAACCCGCGAGAGGAGAAACGGGAAAACGGAGGGTGGTTCACGGTGAAGGTCTTTTTTTGGGGCCTTGCGCTGGGAGGCGTGGCCGACGCTGCTGGCTGACCCCATTAGCCCACCGGGCCTAGATCGGGCCAATCCAGGTGCACCCGCCCACCTGGTGTACCGCCCCTTCCTGGCTCGGAGCCTGAATTTGGAGCATGCGCAGTAGACACACTAGTCCCCTTGCGGGCAACCTAACTGATCTACTGGAACAAGAGGTGGCACCTCCGTCAATTTCCCACTGATTAATCAGGGGATGGAGACGCTGCTACCGCTCTTGAGAGCTCTTACATGTTAATTCTACAAAGTTGACACAAAGTATATGTCGTTCAAGGACAACTATGTGATATCATTAAAGCTTTCTCCACTTGGAGTATCTCCGCACGTAACATGATACGAGATTTGGAACTATCAAGGGGTTCCGACAGTTTTAATCTTGGATCACTGAATCGGAATGGACTGGCAGCAAGTTTTTTTTTTTTTTTTAAGTGAGAAACCAGTTTTTGAAGTTGGTGCCACCTTGTGGTACACTGTTGAAACCACGGCAAACTACATCAAGCCCATTTTTACCTTAGATGGCTACAAGTAAGGAGCCAAAGGGGCTGGTGGACTAACTGAAAGGCCAGGAGTTCCAACACACCAGTAGCTCCTTGGGGAAAAAGCTATGGCCATCTCCTCCCTTAAAGGTTTACAGCCTTGGAAACCTTACATAGGGTCATGATGTGTCAGCATCTACTTGATAGCAATGAGTTTGGTTTTAGGTGGGCGGTGTGCTGGCTTACACATTGGTCTGTTAATTAGAAGGAAAGCAGTTCAAACCCACCAGTCACCCTGAAGGATAATGATGAGGCTTTCTGCTCCTGTAAATATTTACAGTTTCTATCCTGTGCGGCTTGACTGAGGCATTATTACATCGACTCACTGGCATTGAGTTTGGAGTTGTTTCCTGTGGTGTTAGAAACAGAAGCCCTGGTGGTGCTGGGGGGTAAGCACTGGGCTGCTAACCACAAGGCTGGCAGTTCAAAACCACTTGCCCCTCAGCAGGAGCAAGGCTATCTGCTCCTGCAAAGATTTACAGCCTTGGAAACCTTATCAGGGTCACTTTGAGCTGGATGCTTGTTGGCAGTGGATTTGGTTTCCTCTTTTGTTAAAAATGAATGTTACTTACTGCCATCGAGTTGATTCCGACTTGTAGATGAGTCGATAGGATAGCTATCAAATCGGCGAAGTTTTCCCTTAAATACATTTCAATCATGACAGCTCAAGCAAAAATCTTAACAACTCCATCACCATTTTATGCACTCCTAATCCTTTCCCCAGGGTCAGGTGCAAACTGAGGATGTGTTTGGCTGCTCACCCAAAACGCCCAAGAGGTGCACTGCAAGAAAGGCCGAGCGAGCTTCCACTCACCACCATATGGGGCCCCGTTCTACTCGGACGCACACTGGGAGTGGACTCTGTGTGGCCGTCTTGTTTTAAAATCTTCCTCCAGTCCAGCTTCTCTATTTTCTCTCTCATTTCCTATACTTCGGAAACACCACAGGAAAGCTAATGCGGGTCAGCCCCACATCCTCTCACCCTGGGCCATGGAATGGAACTGCTGCTGATTGGTTTCATTACCCTCAGCAGAATTCACTGGGGATCCTGCTGCTCCCAACAACTTGGGTTGTCTGCCTATGACCCCTCTGCCTCGGACCCTGGATGCCACCCTGGACCCTCGGGCTGGTTCAGAGTTGGTTTTGAATGACCTGTCCACTTAGGCAGCCAGCTGCTGGGCAGATGGCCTCCTGGGCCGCCCTCACAGGTCCAGCCCAGGCTGAATGAAACCCCTGCACTTGTCAGCCCTCGGGGAGGAAGTGACTAACGGGTACTGTTCACCAGCATAGTCTCTGGCCCTTAAACTACCTGCGGACGAGGCAAGTCAGCTACCCAACTGACGAGCTGCTCATGAAAACCCACATCTTGCAACAGCCCGGGACAAGTGTCATGATTTGAGTACAGACAGCCACAACAGGGAACTGAACCTTCAGCCATTTTCCTGCTGCAGAGAAAGGGCTCCAAGTGCCAAGATATGGCCAATATCACCATCTGCTGGCGTAAGGGCAAAGTACTGCTAGGAAGAACCTCCCAGACACCTGTGGCACCAAATTCCATCCACACTTCCTGAACAACCCCCACAAAAACCCACTGGTCATAGCAACCTTCCTAGAGCCACCTAAAAGATGAGTCAAGGCCGGGCCTGCCTGTGTCATAAAGTCTGTTTGAGTGCGCATGGAGGGCTTCACAAAGTTCGTGGAAAAACGGAATGAAAAGATGGGATTTTAGCCTGAACTTTTTGAAGCATCTGTGTCAAAGGCACTGGGCTAGGTGAGCCGGTGACCGCTCTGATCATCTGTCTGATCACCTGGGCGCTGGAATGATTACACACCCTTTACACACAGGGGAAAAAGAGCACAGACATGAACTGGCACACAGGCAAATCCTACTGAGCAAAGAGAGAGCAGGTGTCGTCTTTCCTCTTGAGCAGTGTGCAGTGTGCTTCCTCCGGGTCTCAGCCACCCCGTTCTCAGCAGGGCTCCTTGCAGAGGCTGGCCCAGTCCAAGGCATGCTCATCCTGTTCTAATCCCTGAAGCCTGGGGACGCTGCTTTCTGGGATGAAGGGTTTTGATGGGCAGATTATCCTGGATTAGGAGGACGCAGCCTTTTAAAGGGAAGGCAGGAGGGTCAGCAATGGAATGGGGAATTAGGTGCTGGGCTGTAGGCTGTTGGCCAAGCAATGGGGACAAACTCTAGAACAGTGGTTCTCAACCTGTGTGTCTCGACCCTTTTTGGCGGCGTGTGTGTCGAATGACCCTTTCACAGGGGTCGCCTGATTCATAACACTAGCAAAATTACAGTTATGAAGTAGCAACAAAAATAATTTTACAGTTGGGAGGGGGGGGTCACCACATAAGGAACTGTATGAAAGGGTCGAGGCGTTAGGACGGCTGAGAACCACTGCTCTAGAACCTGGAAAAGGCGTGAGAATGGATTCACCTCGTCAGCCCCCAAAGACCCAGCTCAGTCAACACAGTGGGCTTACCCCTTGTAAAGCTCACTGTAGA